TTAATTAAATACATTCCCGTTAAATTCTGGTCCCGGAGATATCTGTTCAAGAATCGTATCAAAGTAACATAACTTGCTCGTAGAGATAATAAAGAAATAAAATATCGAAGGATAATCAAGGTTTTCCGGTGTTATAGTTAGAAGCAGTGATATATCTTTTCATCGCGTATTGTATTTTGATGATCCCAGGATCTCGTTTCCGCAACGCACCATAAAACTTTCCGTGAAAATGTTCCGTGCTTCTCAAACAGAACATGCGCCGATACTTGTTTCACTACTAAGGCAACAAGAAACGAGAAAACTTCCGTATCTGTTAACGTGAAATCTTCTTCCGACGTTATTTGTTCTTTTCTTAAAACGTACGGGAATATTCCGTTTCAGCGTATTGCCGCGCGCCGCTGAGACGGTAAATCTTCGTTGAAGTAGAATGCAGAAAATGAAGAGAAATTTTCTAGATAAAATTGCGCGGTGTAGAATTCTTTTTGCATGAAAATGCGATCAAATAGAGAACTTTTAGAATGGTAGAAATCGAAGGAAATGTTCAAGTCTCATGAAAATGTCTTTTAATACAATGATAAAACTGGTCATATGCAAATAGAAATATAAACGTGCAAATTAGCATACTTTTGTTTTTTCATCTAGTCTACAGATCATATGAATGAACCTCTCTCCTTATAAAGTTTCAGCAAAGCTTTCAGCCATTCCAAAAGTTCGAGGCCTTTCACGTTTACTTTGGCCTTCCTTGCCGTTTTTGCATCAGACTCTCGTACACTCCCCGCCAAAAGCATTGGGACACTCGCAGAAAGCTAAATCAATTTGAGAAACCTGCAGGATATTGTTATAATTTCTCTTCAATTTACTTCGCAGTTAATTTGATTAAATCTATATATATTTACATTATAATAAAGATTGTATAAAAGAAGATTACATTTTCTTTTCGCCTTTCGTCGTGCAAAATGTACTCAGCATATGTTTTCACTGAACAAAATACAAAAAATGGGTAAACTAATTGCATAAGTGACGAATACTTACAACTTAATGTGTACTTTCGACAATACGATGCCATAACACTTAATACTAAACATAAAACATTACCCGAACAGAATGAGAAATTACAATTTACACTAAATCATCAGGTGTCCTAATACTTTTAGCTAGGGGTGTACATTATGGTAATAATGACGAAATATGACGCGATGAATTTTTTATTTATTGAACAGGAAAAATATCAGTGGGAATCGTCAGAAGTGTACCGAAAGTGCCTACGACAAGAACAATTCAATTAATCAAAATATAATTCTTTCTTCCCAACATAGTGTAAAGAAACACACTGAGATAACGTCAACAAATAAAATTGCTCCGTAAAGCTGGAGAAACGCTCTACAATGAAAAATTTCTAAGGATTTGTTTACGAGCAGTACGTTTTCTTTTCAAGTTATCTAGTATATTAAATGTCATGAAAATCGAAAGAAAAGATCTCGAAAACGGATGCCAGGACAAACAGAAAAATACCTCTTCCATCAGAGAAGAATAAATTTAAAATTGCAGTTACGTGGGAATAATGCTGTCAGATCTTCGTACACTGATAAGTGGTCAATTATAGGACAGTTCGTTCGTTTGTCCTACAATTCGTCAATTGTAGAAAAGTAGAGACAGATGGAGTTGTTATTCTGTCTCTTTAATAATTTCAATAAAATAAAAATACTTAAAGAGAATTCACTGAATAGAGAAACATCTGCAGACAGTCTTTAATTAATTACATAGATCTTCATTGAAAAATGAAGATTGTATCAACTGTAAGAAATTTGAACCAAATATAAATTTCATCTTTTCCTTAATAATTTCAGTAAGTTTAAAATAATCGATGGAGACTGACAGATATTGAAAGAGGAGATTCCTCCAAGCATATTTCAATTAGATACGCAGATCTTCACGTTAAACTCGAATTGACTGCATGTCACTACCATGAAAATAGTCAAATAGTTCTTTACTTTGAAATGTTTACCTGCTGCAGAGGCAGAATAATCAATAGTTTCTAATAACACTGCTGCAAAAAGTGAGCAGACGCAACCTAATAAAATTGAAGAGGTTTTAATATACATCGAGCTGTATTCGGTGACAAAAATTAGACGTCGGTAGACAAAGTTAGATTAAACGAGGAAACTGAATTTACTTCTTTTGTCGAGTTAACTCGATTTCTGAGGAACAGGAAACTTCTTTAAGTCGATGTACGTAACAGGCCGTTTCTTTGCACACAGATTCCACAATTTCCAACAATCAAGGAAGGAAAATTAATGATCTATTACTCGAATTTTGTGCAATTAAATGTTTATCAACCAGTTAAGCTTCCGACACTTCACCTCGTATACAATTTCGAAAATTACGTTCCATGTGAAAATTAAATTTGCATACACAAAACCTTATTTTCTAAAATAATTCTATTAATTACNCCCGAACAGAATGAGAAATTACAATTTACACTAAATCATCAGGTGTCCTAATACTTTTAGCTAGGGGTGTACATTATGGTAATAATGACGAAATATGACGCGATGAATTTTTTATTTATTGAACAGGAAAAATATCAGTGGGAATCGTCAGAAGTGTACCGAAAGTGCCTACGACAAGAACAATTCAATTAATCAAAATATAATTCTTTCTTCCCAACATAGTGTAAAGAAACACACTGAGATAACGTCAACAAATAAAATTGCTCCGTAAAGCTGGAGAAACGCTCTACAATGAAAAATTTCTAAGGATTTGTTTACGAGCAGTACGTTTTCTTTTCAAGTTATCTAGTATATTAAATGTCATGAAAATCGAAAGAAAAGATCTCGAAAACGGATGCCAGGACAAACAGAAAAATACCTCTTCCATCAGAGAAGAATAAATTTAAAATTGCAGTTACGTGGGAATAATGCTGTCAGATCTTCGTACACTGATAAGTGGTCAATTATAGGACAGTTCGTTCGTTTGTCCTACAATTCGTCAATTGTAGAAAAGTAGAGACAGATGGAGTTGTTATTCTGTCTCTTTAATAATTTCAATAAAATAAAAATACTTAAAGAGAATTCACTGAATAGAGAAACATCTGCAGACAGTCTTTAATTAATTACATAGATCTTCATTGAAAAATGAAGATTGTATCAACTGTAAGAAATTTGAACCAAATATAAATTTCATCTTTTCCTTAATAATTTCAGTAAGTTTAAAATAATCGATGGAGACTGACAGATATTGAAAGAGGAGATTCCTCCAAGCATATTTCAATTAGATACGCAGATCTTCACGTTAAACTCGAATTGACTGCATGTCACTACCATGAAAATAGTCAAATAGTTCTTTACTTTGAAATGTTTACCTGCTGCAGAGGCAGAATAATCAATAGTTTCTAATAACACTGCTGCAAAAAGTGAGCAGACGCAACCTAATAAAATTGAAGAGGTTTTAATATACATCGAGCTGTATTCGGTGACAAAAATTAGACGTCGGTAGACAAAGTTAGATTAAACGAGGAAACTGAATTTACTTCTTTTGTCGAGTTAACTCGATTTCTGAGGAACAGGAAACTTCTTTAAGTCGATGTACGTAACAGGCCGTTTCTTTGCACACAGATTCCACAATTTCCAACAATCAAGGAAGGAAAATTAATGATCTATTACTCGAATTTTGTGCAATTAAATGTTTATCAACCAGTTAAGCTTCCGACACTTCACCTCGTATACAATTTCGAAAATTACGTTCCATGTGAAAATTAAATTTGCATACACAAAACCTTATTTTCTAAAATAATTCTATTAATTACTAAAAATTCAAACAATTTCTCTGGTAGTATAACCTTTTTATGTGGATCAAAAGGATATATTATTTAATATCTCAAAGCTTAGTGCTTGCTTACTTGAATTATTAGGTATAAATCGACATTTTAATATAATTATTAAATTATATTTAAATCTTTCAATTCCTCTTACACTCGTGTGTTGAAAATCTTTGTTAACGATCTTTTTTAGTACAATAAACTTCAACACGGTGCAAAATGTACAATGCAGGGTAACATTTTTTCTACGTCTTCATTCATTATTTATATATTTTCTTGTTCCTAAGAGATTAAGAATTTCAATCTATTTAAGTGATTTAATCGGCCTAAGTAATTATTATATTGCTATTCATGTTCCCATGATTGGTTCGGATAATCAAGACCTCACTCATGGTAGCCAGAAAAATAAGCTAGATTTTGTAGCTTAGGAGTGGGGGCAGGTAACGTAACGCGGCGCGCATTAGCGTATATATTATATTTGGCTCAATTGGTGAGCCATAACCTAAAATTTATATTTTGTTCAAACTAAATCTAGATTTACGTTATTATTATCACGCGTCACGGACAATGTTTCAGATAAAATTAAATAGTTTCGAGAGGGCTACATTCTGATGTTACTAGTTTTCTCGTAGATGGACTTTTAGAGGACACACGTAGGTCATTAACATTTTTTTTTAATGGAATTGTGTATTTTTTATTGCATCAGATGATGCATATTGATATTCTCTACAAAAAAAGGATTAGCTTATTTATGTTAAAAAATCATTAGTTTAGAAGATGTGTTAATTTTAATGAAGTCATAATATTTTCAAGAGTGTCATGATTTCCTAGCAACATTAAAATTCAATAGAGCAAAAATTGGCTTAAAGCAAACTGCAGAACTCTATGCAAAATAAAAATTGTCTATCCAAGTTGCAAGACATGGGAGTCGAGGTTATTGTTTTTACTATCTTTAATCATTTTAATAAGTTCAAACTGATATACATCAACAATTTTAGTCTCTTTCAATATTTTCACTGTTTTAAATTATGCCCACTCATTTCTGCCATAAGTGCACAAGAACCGCAGTCTAGCACAAAGGCGCAGAAATTGGGACATCTGCCCTAACCACGGGCCCACCGAAACTACTTTCAAACCACGAATGTCACCGAAACGATACGACAATAATTGCAACGATTCTTACCTGTAGTCGTGAGGTTCTCAGTCTCTGCGTCAGTTTTCAACGCTTTTAGGGGCGAAGTCACCCTATCCTCGACATCTTGTTTCCTAGGAGCTTCCGTCGACAACGATATCGCCCCCATTAATCTGCTTCTACTTCTGTTGACGCCGACGTTCTCACCGTGACTCCTCGACGAGTTTTTAGACATCGTATTGTGCCCGACGCGGCCCATGGCGAGTATGCTGCTGGCGAACAGGCTCTGGTCGTCTTGGTTCATCAAGAACGGCGTCGCCACGCACGAGAGAATTATGAGGATCATCAGCGTGCCCATGGTGTATTTGATGATCCTCGGCCTCGATTTCGCGGTGGTCTGAGGGAAACCAGACGAGGAGAACTGGTCTGTTTGCGGTAGGATTGTGTACTGTAGACTGGCATCGCCCTTTCGTACCGTTTTGTACATAACTAATAAACCTGCAATCAAGCAATTACCTTGTTATTGGACCGCCGATTTTTATGCAACGTGAAAATTGTCTGCGCCAATAAACAACGTACAGAAGCTAAGGTAAATGTTCCAGTGATTAGTAGACTCTGCAGATTTTATGCATTTATGGCGAAATTGAGTAATTACAATGTAAAGTATAATGTGTATAAATAATGTGTATATATAATGTGTATAAATTGAAAGCATTTTACAACGTCGATGTATTACTTTTAATCCATTAAGATGATTAAAGGATCAACGGCAGTTGCTACTTGGTTTCTGGTTTCTCGTAATCGATGCAGACAGTTTTTATTTTGCATAAAAATCCGCAGTCCAGTGATTAAACATCGATTTATATTTTCATTAATATTGAGCTTCGGATTAACAATTACATTATTGATAAAAACGGATTAGATAGATTATTAAATAAAAACGATGTTTTTAAACGTGCAATATACGCTCTTTAAGAATTCTGCTAGGGAAAGCTGCTTAACATTATGATAAAAAAGGAAAATAGCAAAAAATTAATTGTTGCCGTGTATGCATTTGTTTATACAAAACAAGTTTCGTTCGAAACACATGTTCGTACGATATACAGTTTATAAGAAAAATTCTGATGAAAGAGTTAAATAACTCACACCCTGTGGATATTTATTTGATTTCTTGCTCATTTTAACAAATTGAAATTAGTTCAACGGTATTTCGAAATCCCGAAAACGAATTGGAATCTCGAACAGGACTCTATGTTATATTTTGATCGAAATTTGATTAACCCCTTTCCCTAAAATATCGTATTAGACTCGATAAGAAGATTTGGAACGTAATCCACTAAATGTGAACGTTATTTGCGTCTTTCAAATCGAAATCAAATTCTACCCTTCTATTATTAATATGGAAATCTCGATATAAGGGTTATTGACAAATATTCCGTCACTAGATGATCTTAACACTAGGTTTATAAAGTCTTATATTGCTTCCTGAAAGTAATCACGCTCGTTGGCTGGGCCGCATCGCGCCAGCCGAGCTCACCTCTCACTGGTCAATGTTTTTCGTTAATAATTACTTAACGATACCTCGGAGAAAATTTTTGTAGGGGAAAAAGTTACTACGTATAACCTCAGGAATCTCTAATTTCCCGGAAGTACGATAATTTTGGTACATCCTGTATATATACTTTGATAGTCTTTATTAAATTAGTATAACGAATAGTCTTTATTAAAAGTGTCGTATCTCAAGAAAATATGAAAGAAACCAAACACATACAGAATAATTGAACAGTTTACTTTGAAAGTGGCCTAAGTCCATTTATTTTAAAATCCAGATATTCAAGGATTTTGCGTTTTAATAAATTTGAAAATATGGATGGTAAAACTATATATTGATGGAAAAATATTCATGGTAGTATAATGCTTTTGTGTTTCGAAGGGTTATTACGTCCTAGAGAGGCTTTGCTGATATTAAATTATGTATAATGTAGAAATGTAAATATTAAAACAGCTAGCTCGATGTTTTTGATAAATGGACTTAGGCTACATTCAAAATAAATGGCTCAATTGATACAGAAAATTTTCATTTCGCGGAAAAATCCACACGCATTGTTACGGTAATTCTGGCAGTAATAACAAGTCGGTTAAAATAAATATTGATGAGACCACTGATGATTGTTACGGCCCTATGAATAACGCACTTGATACAACGCTAGATTACTGTTACGAGCTAATGGTTATGCAGTTATACCGAGTGCGGTTCGAAACAGATCCTCGAAGGTATAATCTCATTTCCGCGTGGAATGATTTCTATTTCACGAGGAAATAACCATCCGAGGAATACGAAATTTTTCCAGCATCTCTGTAAATTCTCCCTAATTGACGCTCAGATTATGCACGAAACTGGACAATTTGTCAAGTTGTTGACAATCGATAACTATAAAAACGAGTTGCAAGGCTCGAATAATCGTATCTCCTCTTCCAAAATCGTCCATTTTTGTTCACAATCTGAGCGTCAATTAGGGAGAATTTTTTACTGCATCACTATCCCCTACAAAAAGTATCGGAACAGCTTTTAAAACGCAATAAATGCAACAAAACAATGCTGCTAGCTTATTTTTAACATATTGGAAATATCATGAACGAAACAGAATTTTTATTTAACTCGTGTTCGATGCAATCGAAACAGATAATTTCTGCTTTGCAGAAATATCCGCCAGTGTAGACGAATGCAGACGAAAATGTGACGAAATTCACGAGGCCATTCGACTTTCGATACCCGGAAATTAACGTGATTAACAATTAGAGGGATCGTCGAACTTCATATTTCAAGATTATAGTCGGTATCTCGTCAAAGATGTCGATAGCGACCGGGTAAGCGGATCACGTAAAGTGAACTATGAGCTCTGCGCGTAAGTACTCGGTCGCAATACCGTGAATTGATGACTGCTGCATTTGCATCCANATTAAATTAGTATAACGAATAGTCTTTATTAAAAGTGTCGTATCTCAAGAAAATATGAAAGAAACCAAACACATACAGAATAATTGAACAGTTTACTTTGAAAGTGGCCTAAGTCCATTTATTTTAAAATCCAGATATTCAAGGATTTTGCGTTTTAATAAATTTAAAACAAATGGTAACTGATAACATGGTAATATAATGTCTTCTATAGTCTTTGCTGAAATAAAATTATATATAACGTACAAATGTAAATACTAAAATAGCTAGCTACCTCGATGTTTTTTTGTTTTTTTAACTTTCCAAGTTAAACCGCTCAGTTACAGTAGCTTACACACGTTTCAATAAGATTACAACAGCTAACTGGTTAAATCGGGTGAAGGACAGTTTTCACCCCCTTAACCGGTTCATATCTGACTACAGCTCCTACTAGAATCAACCAAAAATTTTTATCTTTTTCTATTTTTTTTTTTTAGGCCACCGAAGATTAACAAAATATGTGATAATCGAATTTCAATGTATCGCCACTTTTTTAATTACCGAACTTTTTCTTTTGTTCTAGTACCTGCTATAGCCCAATTCATACTAATTAAGGAACTTTCAGGTTTTTTTTTATTTCAGTGAAGCAGAATGGTCGGAATCATGGACACCGTGAGACGACTTTTTTCTTAAAGCGTTATTTCGAGAGTGAATAAATTTTTTTAAATTTGCCAAAATCACTTGAATTTGTTTTTTCAAGTATTATATTATATAATATAATTTACTAGACTTTGTGAAAACAAATTGTTACCAAAATTTCAATTGGTTACATTGACAACAAAATTAAAAAATGATGTTCTTTCAACTTTATTATCTGAGTCTATAACGAAAATTTGGACAATGCATTTTGTAGGTCTCCGTACCTAATTCTAGATTTCTTAAATTGATCAGTCGAAACTGTCGAAATTTTCGCAATCTTTGATTGTTTACAGTTAGTTACGAAGTCAAACAATTACGCTGTAATTTTCGGCATGCATAGAAATTACCGAGATCTACAAAATTAGTTGTTTAAACTTTCGTCATCCCAGATTCAGATACTAAAGCCCAAAAACGAGTTCTATGTTACTTTATCGTTCCAATCAATTGCAATGCATGTAACAAACATTTTAAACATTATCTAGCAAACTAGACCCTCTAACATTTCAAAAGCTTCAAGCTAAATTGGTCTCGTACTATTTTAAATTGAATAACACAGTGCAAGATGCACGATTGATGACTTTATGGAAGACGATTTTACAGAAACCTTCGTTAAGAATAATTCTGTAAAATCGATCATCGAAAAGTTCTGTGAGAAATCGGCCATCGAAAAATTCTGTAAAATCGGTCACCAGAAAATTATTAATGAAACTTGTTGAATCAGTGCCAGAATAATGATCTACGGTTCGAGTTTCAGCGGTGCACAGAGCGTGAAGGCATTGAAACAAACAAATTAACATTGAGTCTCGTGAGAAGACAAATGCAAATTTTTAAATTTTTGTTAATCGAACGGGCTGACGAGAACCTCGCAAACTGCCCAAAGAAACTAATTAAACAGCGAGTCACACATTTTCCCACGACAGTGATATCTCGCCCATATAACGCGAGAGCCGACGATTAAAATTCCTGAACGTCCACTGACTCCATCCAGAGAAGACCTCGACATTTTCCGTCGGCGGAATCGATTCCCGATTTTCGTGGTTTAAATGTTAAACATCCCGCGAGCCTAACAACCCGTTCGAATCGACACCGGTATTTGCCACCTGAAGGTTAACTTCGGCAGTCCTTACGGAACCCCTATGCCGATTAAAAGCAAAAAAATACTATAAGACTGAAGACGAAGTCGCCAAGACGTGAAATTACATTCTAATGTACGTTCGCCGTAGACCGACCGAAAAATCATGCCCAAGTTGAGGGAAACAGGTTAAACAATTGGAACGAGGGGAATTTTTTCGCTGGTGAGTCACGGTTCGGTTGATGGTGTTAGGCTGGAATGATCGGGAATAGTAATCGGTTTAGACGAAAGTAATGGGGGGGGGGGGTGAATCGTGTAAAGATGCGGTGATAAACAGGTACTCACGATATGTGAACAACAGAAAGGGTTGCTATTCTCCGTTTCCACTTCCGGCAGTTTGCTCCGTCGAACGAACACGACAATCCGGGACAGACAGAACCTCCCCTGCGAGAGAAAATTCTCGTGGAAAATGCGCAGAATCGGCTGGCCGGGGGATGGTGGACGAGCTGCGCAGCCGCAGCAGCCAGCTTCCGGAAATCCGTCACCGTTTGAATGGCGCCGAGAGAGACGCGAGGAACCGAGCCGGGTTCAAGGACATTTGAGAATTCGTCGACCTTGAACTTCCCTCGCGAGGCACACCGGGCTAAAATCGTCGAAACGCGGCCGTTAATCGTGGTCTCGATCGCGATCGAAATCGATGAAATTTCAAGGATGAAATTTCAAATACGCTCCGTACTGAATTCTGCTATAAAAAATAACTTGCAGGCGACTCGACGAGAAGTTTCTTTGGGCAGCCTCGAAGGCGAGAGAAATTCATGTCGGAATCGAAAGTAAAATGATTTAAAGTGGAGTCTCGAATAAACCGTTAACGCGAAGATGATTTTTGGCAATTTTTCTACAAAGTGTTTTTGACATTTCAAGATACACAAATTTTTGTTTCGTTACATGTGTTATCAACGTATACGGAAATAATAAAACTTGTTCACCGTAATCCTCCCGTCGGAGTTGTGCTAATGGAATTACACTGTAATTTAATTACATTGTATGCCAATTACATTGTAATTCAATTAAGTAATTCAAACCATTGAGTTAATTCGGTTACTAATTATTTTGTGTGTGATCACGAGTATCATCGAAATACAATGTAATTGACTTGTAATTGAATTACAATTTTATAGACATAAAATGTGATTGAATTACAATTTTATAGACATAGAATATAATTGAATTACATTGTAATTAATATATAATGTAATTGAATTACAATATAACTGACATACAACGTAATTGAAATATGAATCCGAATATTTTCCATATTTCTTGCATTTGTAACAATGAGTGTCAGACGTATGAATGTAGTGGTATGAAGGAGAATGGAGTGCATGGTTGTGTAGGTATGCCAATTGAATGATAGGGACCACCAATCGATATCATCGAGCGGAATCGGATCGGTGCAAAAAGTAATTTCGCGAGAACGTGGCGTCGTTTTTCCTATGAATTACAAATTACAACGTAATTGAATTACAATATAATTGAATTTCAATATAACTGAATTACTTTGTGATTATTATTCCTCGAGTAATTCAATTGTAATTTCTAGAACGAAACTAAAACATGGTTTTTCCATAATAGAACTACACATCGTATGAATCTAATCCTTGTTTTAACAAAATGCAAAAGAGTGATAATACGCGCCTCCAAAAACAAAGGCATGATTTTTATTAAAATAAAAATTTACGCAATTACGTTTTATCATTTTTTAAATATAATTTAGATTCATACGACGCGCGGTTCTATCATGGAAAAAACTCAATTGTTCATAGTTAATTGCAACGTCAAACAATTTCGACAGAATTTTCAGCATGAAAGTTATCAATGCCTAAAAATTGCATTGTTCAAATTTTTGTTACAAGCCCAGTGAAAAAAAAATTAAAAAATATCACCCTTCTATTTTTATTGTCGTTTCACTCAATTGTAAACCAGCGTTTCGTTCACGTCAACAAAATTCAAGTTGTCTGGACCAATTTTGAAAAAGTTATTGCGTTTCAAAAAATGTCCACGATTTTTTTTTTTTATTTGTCCACGATCGTACATTGTAATTTTGAGCACATACATGGTGACCCATTTAAATCGACCCAATCAAATATCTTCGAAACCATTACTGATACTAAAAAAATGTTTCAAACGAAAGTTGAATAGTTTTAGAACGCATCTAATCTGATATGAATAAAAAATTTCTAGATGGACGCGTAGAGGACGTATGAAGGTCAACTTTACTTTTTTATATAATACTAAGGTATTTATTGCGAAAAATCATTGGTCTAGAAGATATTTTAAGTTTTGTATTGAGAATTCGCTAATATGTGTGTTGCATCTGATATATCACGTTCTAATGGATTTTTGTAAACAAACATTAGTCTGTACAGACCATGGCAATCTTTATTTTATATTTTATAATCAATTTACTAGTAATTATAATAAATACATTACATACATAATACATTATAATAAAAATAACGTCAATTTTCTAAAAGAAAAATAAATTTTCTCTTCGACCACATATCCACCGCGTTTTGTAATTTCTTCTTGGACTAATTTCGGCATCCGTTTTATTAACTTATCTATTATTTCAGATCCCATTCGGTTCCATGCATTTTGTAGTATGTTCCACAAATTTGGAAAACACATCGTATGAAATGAACTCAATATGCGCTTTCAACGAACAAAATGCAAGAAATGGGTGAACTAATTGCATAAGTGACAAACGCTTCAAAATTAATATGTAATTTCGACAATATGATGCCATAAAACTTAATGCTAAATATAAAACATTACCCAAATTGAATGAAAAATTATAATTTATACTAAATCAGCAGGTGTTCGAATACTTTTGGAGGGGCGTGTACACATAATGCATTTTATTTATTTTTATTTTATTTTAATTTTTATTATTCTTTATGATTGTTTCCAAAATTGTATTCAACGATCCCAGAAACATATAAAATAGTTTATTTAATAATGAATAATGCATGGATAACAATGATATGAATTATGTCTGCGTTTTGACGACTTTAGCTCAATATGCGGCAGTTCTGTTATGTCTGACACGAAACTTGTCTTGAACTTTTACGATTCTTAGCTTATAGTGGTTACTTAGGCTCCTCTCGACCACAGGACTGAAAAGATAACAGTGTGAAGTTAATGGAACCTCGATTATGCGAATTGATTATGTAACAGGGTATTCCGTTGCAAAGAGAATGATCTATTCCGGTCGGGATAAGTATGTATAATAGAAGTTTATGGATACAATAACACTATGATTTTCTGACGAAAATTGATATATCGTTTAAATTATTACTACACTGCGTCTGATAACTATAAAAACATCCAAAAATTTTCAGTTTTTATACGTAGGAATTAATATAATAATGAATAACATGTGCCATGTGCGAAATCGTGCCCCGATTTGTCACAAGACATATATAAAAAAATTTTAATAACTCTCTAGTGGAATTCCCATTATTTCCAAAGCAACTCTATACATATCGCATACTGCGCATGCATGCAGTTCTAGCCAGCGTTTTTCTCATGAATAATGAGAAGAAGAAGAATCATGAATACTAAAAAGATGAGAAATGAAAGCAATATTCAATTCTTCTTAACACAATACTACATGGTTTTGTATATTACAGGAGAACGTTCGCTAAGACAAATTCAATTAATGGTTAACTAATATACTTCAAATATTAGATTATTCAGATAACAATTGATCTTATATTGTGTAACCAAAACTTAGGACGCGTATATGTACAAAAAAAGAAGAGATGGTTACACTATTAATTGTTATTGCTAATAAAATAATTAATAGATTAATTATTATTGCTATAACTAATAATTTACATTATTAAATGAAATTACATTTCCAGGTAGTTCAGATCATGAAGTACTTTTTTCCAGCACCTAAAAAATGATGTCGGTAATAGATAATCTGTGCTAGAGTGAGGATAATTACAGGAAACATCCTTTGTTCATTTGTACAAAGTCCCTTTATATTTCATTGTATCAGAATATTGGTATCAATACAATTATGTCTGCAATGTGACTAAAAATTACTCCACAAGGTACACAAAGTTAAACAATATTTAAGGAACGAAATTCACATCAGTTCCAAGCATTTTGTTATTGAAGTAGCTCCAGAGAAATAAGAGACATAAAATAGTTACACGTTTCGTTACAATATTTAAAAAGTATCAAATGTGGCACATAATAGAAAGTAATGGTTAATGATTATAAATTACAAAATCCAGAGAATATTCCTTTATTATTAAATGCAACAGAAAATATATATCTATTTGATTGATGAAAATAACATTCTTTCATTCATCCCATATGTATAATATAGTGGAAAACATTAGTATTAATTGTAATGGAAGACATTATTTTTTTTTTACATACTATTAGGAACTGATATTCTCCTTTGAAGATTTTTGATTTTTTCTTTAATAATTTTAATCAGTTTTATGCAGTAGTTCTGTCTTCAATTATTTCAATCTATCCGCTATTTGATATTGCTCCGTTTCATTTGTATCACTAGTATATAAAGATAACGACTTCTTTCTCTTCAACCATGTTGTTCAAGCGTAGACATTCAGCATGAGTAATTTTTTAATTAGGCAGTCTTTATTGCATTGTTGGCATGGCTGTTGAAGATGCAATGTCACTAGCATCTCCAGATCGCCACAATTGCGTTACTGTTTTCGTCTGTGTATGGAAGTTTATCCCCTGAAAGTATATGAAACATATAAAAATGTGCATTTAAATGTGTAAATAAACCTTTACACAAAAATGTGTTATGTACAATAAAAATTACAGTAACGCATGCTATGATTGCTATCAGCACAAAAATTAATAACGCGACAACTGCGAATTTTTATTAAGAAAATTCTTTAATTAAAATATTGGCTGACCCAATTGCATTCGAAATTTAATTCTCCGGTTAACTGCTGACGCGAATAATAAAAATTTTTATGTTAAATGAAATATGAATAAGATGGTCAATACGATATCAAGAAAAAATACTTTTCGATAATCATTCTATGGATAATATTATCAATTATTACTATAACTGTATGATAATTATTAACCATGAAATTATAAGAAGATATTATGTTCGAAATAAGTTGAATCCACTGAAAAATGAACCAATCTTGCTCTTCATATTTACAAAATAAGCGTTCATTGTATAATTTATCCTATATATATACCGTGTTAAATCTGAGTTACAATATAAAGTTGAAGATTAATACATTTTTTAAAAACTTCAAAATTAATATAGAAATAATTTACAACTCGGTACTTACGTGTTTACCATAAAAGTGATTGTCACCCAAGAAGGATCCTTTATTTCCCGTGAAACTAAACATAGGTAATGGCACTGGAATGGGAACATTAATACCAACTTGCCCGGCTTCGATTCTGTTAGTAAATGTTCTGGCTGTTGCACCGTTTGTCGTAAAAACAGCAGTTCCGTTTCCGTAAGGACTTCTATTGATAATGTTGATAGCCTCGTCCAAAGTGTTGGTGAAAATACAAGAAAGAACGGGGCCAAAAATTTCCTCGGTGTAGCATTGCATGGAAGGCTAGAAAAATATAATCAGAAAAATTTATATAATTTGTAATAAAGTAATTTGTACAAAATGATTTCTTCTACTATGGCCACTACCAATCATTTTTCAATGATAAATAAATTTTTGAAACAGAAGTTTCATTTCGAAAATCCAACAATTACAAACTCTGCCAACAAAGCAAAAGTTACAAAGAAATACAAGTTTCTATTGTAAGAATCAACAAAATATATTTAACATCACGCATTTCATCAACGGGGAACATCTTTAGAACATAAAACGATGTACTCCTAACAATAAATGTTTCGTACTTCTTAAAACGCATAGTGACAATACTAAAAGTTTTAGAAAAGTATAGCATTCATAACTTGTTTATGGTTTCATTAGAAAAACTTCTCAAACATTGTCTTATGTTACGTGAACTGCTCCTCTTAAACAATACAAACCTGCACATTTGTCAGCACAGTGGGACCAACGAAGTTTCCTTGCTCAAAACCATTGACAACCAATCCTCTGCCATCAAGAGCTAAAGTGGCCTGCTCCTTCAGCCCTGATTCCACCAGCCTGTGTATTCTTTCCTTCGACTGAGGAGATATAACTGGTCCAAGATCTGTGCCAGGAATGTGTCCAGCATTCACCTTCAAGCTTTTCGCAGCCTCCACCAATTCTGGCACCCAGTCCTTCGATCTACCAACGAATATGGCGACCGACAGAGCCATGCATCTCTGACCAGCTGCTCCAAATGCTGCTCCCACAATTTGTGAAATTGTTTTGTTCTTATTCGCGTCCGGAAGAACAACGCAATGGTTCTTCGCTCCCATGTTACACTGCACGCGTTTGCCGTGTGCGCTACTCTGTTTGTAAATGTACTTCCCCTGCGGAAACAACAGTTGGTACAATATTAGGTTGTTGGTCTTTTTGTCTGAAGAAGAAATTATAAATCTGAGTTAATACTCATTTAAAATACCAATGCAGGTATAAACTTTATGTGATAGGTCCATTTAAAAAAATCCTACTAAGGTTTTTTGATATCAGGTGCAACATTAACTCATTCTCGATTCAAACACAATTTTCACGTCCGTAAATTCCCCTTGTGAGTATAAACGATACAGCGAACACTATGTTACCGTTTTTACGCCGTCAATAGCATAGGTCAAAAATGACCCGGCTTGGCGATTAACAATTAAGCAACGTACCGCTTGATCAGAACCAACAAAAGAAACTGCCTTGATGTCCGGATGTTCGCAGATAAAATCGACAGCGGAGTGTTGGCCGTGTATGACATTCAGTAGACCCGGTGGAGCACCAGCCTTGGTGAACAGATCGGCGAGGATCATGGAGGCGCCTGGTACACGTTCGGACGGTTTCAAAATGGTGGCATTTCCACATGCAACCGACACCGGAAACGACCAAAGCGGTATCATCGCAGGAAAATTAAACGGGCAAATAGAGGCAGTTACGCCGAGAGGAACTCTGTAAGAAACTATGTCCATATCCGTGGCGATATTTGGCATACTCTCGCCCATTTGAAGAGTGGGAATCGCGGTGCAAGCGTCGACCACCTCTGCAATGGAAACAAGCAATTGATTTCATTTTTTTTTATGTCAAGGTAATCCGAAGATCATGGTCGTCGAATTCAACTTAACACGAGCTACAATAACATGAAATAAAAAATATACTATGCAATTTTGAAAAATAAAGGTGACCTTATGCATATCTAAAAAGAAATTTTTTTTTCAACTGGCTGAAAATCTAGGCAGTGATCTTCGCGACGAACATAATACTAGTCCCAATTCATTGCCAGTTATACAACGAAAGTTTTGCCAAATCGGTTTATGTAAGAAAAATAAGTCTAACAATATTTGTATTAATTGTAACAATTATATATGCGAAAAACACACTTTAAGGCTTGGGGCTTCAATCTACTTTTAATTTGCAGAAGTGCTGTAAATTTAAACGTCTCCAAAAGCACTGAAAGATTCGTATCCATAGAAATTGATGTTAACTTTTTAATTAGTCGTTTTTTCATTCCTATTTTACATGTACCAACTTAATAAATGATTGCCGTTGATGTCTGCGAAGTATTGGAAATTGTAATGCCAACACTTAACAAGTGTGGATGGCTATCTGATTCGTATAAAGTAAATATGCTACAAGACACATACGCAAAGAGTCTCATATTCTATATTTTTCACGTTCCCATGCAATTTTATTCATGAACGTGACACTAAAACTTTTTTTCATGGTTAAAACTAATTCCAGTAATTGAATCTGGCCATTAGACTGCAAATCTTTATGCAAAAAATGTCTCTCCATCAAGATGTCTGTCTCTATCAATTTCAAGAAATGAGTGTTGACTAAAAATGTATCATTTAATAATTTCTCTTAATAGCTTTAATTATTTAAGAACAACATGTCTCCCTCTGCGCCCTTTCATTCTTCTTATGTTCTTCCTATTTCATACTTGACGTTATCATTTTTCATAAATGCATAAAGTCTGCAGTCTATCGATCATATTTTCGTAAAGATACTTACGAAGTCCTCGAAGAACATCTCCTTCTGCGTCTGCCATCGTCTTTCCGTTTTCCTTGACTACATTCTCTGCAATCTCTTTCTAGAAAACAGACGTGCATCAAAATATAATAAATAAGAGCTTTAAATTAACTGACACCTAAATATTGAATATTAATTCTATTATTCTGTATATATTATTCTATACATTATCGATTAAAGCTTTATAATATTATAGCACATATATCATAATAAGAATCTTACAAACTCTCTGTAATATTTTTCTATACAGAAACATACTGTTCTGTTACACAATAAAAAATAGTACTACAAAAGACTACCAAATTGAATTAAATTTTTCCATTCGTAGAGATATTGCAAAATTGTAACAATTATTGGAATAAGATCAGCTTATCGCCAATTATGTACCCCGTTCGATTGTCTTCCGAAGGTAGAAAATGATAAAGAAAGAGAGACTCAGATTCAAGGCGTTCGGCAAGCATTAAAGTACTCTTGCGAGCTCAGCCTTTTAAATTAAACAATCAAAATTCCTCATTTTCGGTTTATTTGTCAGCGACATTTTTACGATCGTTTTCTGATTGATTAGCACCAAAACACGGTATAAACACAAGTATAATTACTTGTATAATAAATTGAAGACTGAAACTTCGATTGTTTGTTACAGAAGTAATTGTAATCGTACTTGTATCGTGTCCTATGTTATTTTAATAAAAAAAAAAACGAGTCGAATGTGATGGTAAAAGTTTTATAAAATTGCTGACACTTCGTTGCCTTGCTCGGCGTGCGTATTCTTCAGTGGTGACAATCGAATTTTTCAGTTACTGTAGAGATCTTCTCGACAGTTACGGGGAGAATACTGTATAATTGTATAATTCTAATAATCCTACCGAGTGTTCGCGAATGAGTGCTTGATATCTGAGCATCAAAGTTTGTCTTGTAAGTATGCTTGAATTCTTCCACTTTCCGTAGGCATTCTTCGCACTCTGAACGGCCAGCTCCATTTCCTGTTTCGTGCATTTTGGTGTGCGACATAACAATTCGTTCGTTGCCGGATCGTGGACATCGGTATATTCCGTTGCCTTTGATTCTAAAACACGCGAAGATTTTAGTTTCACGGTATTTTCAATTTTGTACGTCTTTTCGAAAATTATAACTTTTAACACATTAATTGCCACGTCGCAAAAATATAACTGGTAGTATATTAGGGTAGCGATAAACCCCAAATAGAAACTTCAAAAGGATATGTTAATCTAACTCTAGGTAAAGAATTCGTTTCTTTAATCAACTTCCATGCTTCAAATCTTGATTAAACTTAGTGATAACTAGATCGCAGATTTTATGCATTTATGATAAAAATAAGTAGACGAAGTACTATAAAATAACAATAAATATTAGAATAATTTCAGGATATCATTACACACTGTTATAAAATTTAAATTATTAAGACAAAAAATAACTTCCAATTCAACTTTNAAAATTTGTTTCTAAAACTGATTAAAAAAAGTATTTTGAGCAACGTATGATATGATAGTCAATGTGTTAAAGTATTCAGAGAATTATACATAATTGTACATTCTACCCTATCAAATAGTTGTTAATTTTCAAATTTAGGTTCTAAATTTTGTGTTTCTAGTTCATTTTAAGAATTAATACGAAGTCTTTTAACAATCACATTTTACTAATATATGTGTTTAAGTACAAAATTATAACAATATNCTCCATCAAGATGTCTGTCTCTATCAATTTCAAGAAATGAGTGTTGACTAAAAATGTATCATTTAATAATTTCTCTTAATAGCTTTAATTATTTAAGAACAACATGTCTCCCTCTGCGCCCTTTCATTCTTCTTATGTTCTTCCTATTTCATACTTGACGTTATCATTTTTCATAAATGCATAAAGTCTGCAGTCTATCGATCATATTTTCGTAAAGATACTTACGAAGTCCTCGAAGAACATCTCCTTCTGCGTCTGCCATCGTCTTTCCGTTTTCCTTGACTACATTCTCTGCAATCTCTTTCTAGAAAACAGACGTGCATCAAAATATAATAAATAAGAGCTTTAAATTAACTGACACCTAAATATTGAATATTAATTCTATTATTCTGTATATATTATTCTATACATTATCGATTAAAGCTTTATAATATTATAGCACATATATCATAATAAGAATCTTACAAACTCTCTGTAATATTTTTCTATACAGAAACATACTGTTCTGTTACACAATAAAAAATAGTACTACAAAAGACTACCAAATTGAATTAAATTTTTCCATTCGTAGAGATATTGCAAAATTGTAACAATTATTGGAATAAGATCAGCTTATCGCCAATTATGTACCCCGTTCGATTGTCTTCCGAAGGTAGAAAATGATAAAGAAAGAGAGACTCAGATTCAAGGCGTTCGGCAAGCATTAAAGTACTCTTGCGAGCTCAGCCTTTTAAATTAAACAATCAAAATTCCTCATTTTCGGTTTATTTGTCAGCGACATTTTTACGATCGTTTTCTGATTGATTAGCACCAAAACACGGTATAAACACAAGTATAATTACTTGTATAATAAATTGAAGACTGAAACTTCGATTGTTTGTTACAGAAGTAATTGTAATCGTACTTGTATCGTGTCCTATGTTATTTTAATAAAAAAAAAAACGAGTCGAATGTGATGGTAAAAGTTTTATAAAATTGCTGACACTTCGTTGCCTTGCTCGGCGTGCGTATTCTTCAGTGGTGACAATCGAATTTTTCAGTTACTGTAGAGATCTTCTCGACAGTTACGGGGAGAATACTGTATAATTGTATAATTCTAATAATCCTACCGAGTGTTCGCGAATGAGTGCTTGATATCTGAGCATCAAAGTTTGTCTTGTAAGTATGCTTGAATTCTTCCACTTTCCGTAGGCATTCTTCGCACTCTGAACGGCCAGCTCCATTTCCTGTTTCGTGCATTTTGGTGTGCGACATAACAATTCGTTCGTTGCCGGATCGTGGACATCGGTATATTCCGTTGCCTTTGATTCTAAAACACGCGAAGATTTTAGTTTCACGGTATTTTCAATTTTGTACGTCTTTTCGAAAATTATAACTTTTAACACATTAATTGCCACGTCGCAAAAATATAACTGGTAGTATATTAGGGTAGCGATAAACCCCAAATAGAAACTTCAAAAGGATATGTTAATCTAACTCTAGGTAAAGAATTCGTTTCTTTAATCAACTTCCATGCTTCAAATCTTGATTAAACTTAGTGATAACTAGATCGCAGATTTTATGCATTTATGATAAAAATAAGTAGACGAAGTACTATAAAATAACAATAAATATTAGAATAATTTCAGGATATCATTACACACTGTTATAAAATTTAAATTATTAAGACAAAAAATAACTTCCAATTCAACTTTT